AATGCTGGGATTAAAGGCCACCACCACCACCACCCACCATACCACCACCACCACCACCACCACCGTTCTCCTCCTCTTCCTTCCCCTCCTCCTATCTACATCAAGGAACCCAAAGCTCAGGAAGTTGGGGATAATTTGTCTGCATCAGGACTTCCCTTCCTCCAGCTGCCTTGTCTTGTAGAGCCTTCCGAAGGTCTCGTTATCCTTCTACTAAGACCATAATGGAGGTCAAAGCCTGGGCATTAAGTTCTCTCTCCCTGTCTCCTGCCGCCTCAGCTGTAGGGGGTTGTGACGGTGTCCTCCTCAGACCTTATGGGGAGGATATATGGGCGCATCCTCATAAAGGGTTTAGCCCAGTGCCTGGCACCAAGCAGGAGTCCTAAGTGCTTGCTCTGACGGTGCAATGGAGCCCTCTCCCCACCAGATCCGGGGGCCAGTGCTTTCTTACTGTTGTGTGGGCCCAGAGCAGCCATCACCCCCTTTACAGTGCCGTTTATCACCGTGCCGCTATGGGATAGCGCAGGGCTGCCCGTTCTAGACTGCTTGATGCCTACCCTTTCTACTCACCTTCACCTCTTCGTTCTCAAAGAGAAAGAGGATGAGGAAGCTCGCGCCTCTCTGCAGGGCGACACCGGGCCACCGGACCTCTTTTTGCCAGAGTCCGCCTTGGAGGGTGTTGCAGATGACGTGGGGTTTGACGGTGTAGAGGCGAGGGTTGAAGTGGAAGGCAATATCTGGCCGAGGATGCAGGCAGCACCCGCACTGGAAGTCCACCTGAAACCTGGTGGGGGTGTGGTGTGGCTTTTGAGATGTCCTTCCGGTCAGAGACCCACAGAGAATCTGAAGGTAGAGAGGAACCCCAGGTTGATGCCCCGAAACCTGGGCTGTACCCAACCCTAGACAGTCCCCCTTACCTCCGTGCACGTAGGGGGACCACACCCTGCAGCATGACCATCTTGCCTGCATACAGGCCACCAAAAATCGTTGTGACATAGGGAACCACCTGAACAGGGGAGAGAAGCCAGGTGTGCCGACTGGAGTTGGAACCGGGGACTCCTGTGTTACAGGGCTGAGTAGGGTGGAGAGGAAAGACCAGGAAACGCGGCTTCCCCACTGGGAAGCCAATCTTGACTATTAGCTTGACGAAAGTTACACATGCCACAGAAACACACTTTTGGGAACATCTCCGAGGGATTTTCCAGGTAAGGTTACTTGAAGTGGGAAGATCCACCCTAAACGGGTGCAGTACCTTTTCCATAGGCTGCCCCCAGACTGAATGAAGCGGCGAAGGCCAGTGTGGAGTGCAAGCATTCACGGCCTTTGCTTCTTGACACTGGAGTCGAGAGTGGCCACCTCCTACCACCTTCCCTGCCGCGGCGGATCTCCCATGGCCGGGAGCCGAAACAAACCTTTCCTGCCTTACATTGCTTTTGCTGTACTTTTTTTCCCCCCACAGCAACAAGAAAAAGTAACTCATAAAACCTCAAGAGAAAAATGTCCTTGAAGAGAAGAACCCGCTTTTTCTCTAATATTCCCAGATCAATCACTGCTCTCATCGCTGTAACAAAATCCCTGACAAAAGCAACTGAAGGGAGGCTGGGTTTATTCTGCCTCAGGGCTCCAGGGTCCAGTCCAGCATGGCAGGAAGTCATGGCAGCAGGCGCTTGAAGCAGCTGGTCACATTGTATCCAGTCAGGATTCAGGCCGCAGTGAAAGCTGGTGCTTAGCTGAACGCATGCTTTTTATGTGGACCAGGATTCAGCCCCCAGGATGGCGCCACCCCACACTGAGGGTGACGCTCATTATCTTAAGGGAGTCTAGATAACACCTCACAGGCTTGTCCAGAGATCTGTTCCCATGGCAATTCTACATCCCAGCAAGTGGCTAGTCAAAGGAACCATCACAGTTCTTTTCAAAGCTCTCCTTTCTTGGGCAGAGATGTCAAAACCACAATGCCTGGGGGAAGTCTAACCTCGCTTCACTATCCTGTCAGAGCACTGACAGGCCGCTGTGTCCCCTCTGAGGCTTGTCACCCATCTGAGGTGACAACGTCTGAGGACTAGTGAATGGTCAGAGTTTAGGAGCTGAGAGGAGAAAAGAATGGAGAAGTTGGGAGCCAGCTGACCCTGATGTGGACTCTCTTCAGAGATCCCCAAGAGTGACCAGCCCCCATCCCCCTCTGGGGCCCATCTTTCCTCACAGAGCAGTTGCCTGGCCTTCCTGAAGTATGCACACACTTTTTAACTCTTTTTCTGGGTCTGCTCCCTCTCAGCCTTTCCTCGTTCTCCATCCTGACACCTTTTGGCCTCCCCTCTCCTGAGTTCTCAGAGCACTTAGCTCACAATGCTAGCTTGGCCCTTGGCCCCTAGTCGAGAGGAGCTGGCTGGCTGGTTTCCCATTAAGATCACAGCCCCCGGGGCTGGAGAGATGGCTCAGAGGTTACGAGCACTGCTTGCTCTTCCAAAGGTCCTGAGTTCAATTCCCAGCAATCATATGGTGGCTCACAACCATCTGTAATGAGATCTGGTACCCTCTTCTGGCCTGCAGGGATATGTGCACTCTATACATAATAAATACATAAATAATAAAAAAATACCAACTCAATTAAAAAAAAAAAAAGATCACAGCCCCATATACCTGGAGCCTCCTTGTCTTTCCCTTCAACAAGCTCCGCACTCACCTGAGCACAGTGGGAGCCCTGCAGAAGGTATGCCAACAGGTGAACCTGGGGCAGCGTCACAGGGTCAGCCTCCATGTATGACTTGTCAACACCCAGTGGAAACCAGAGAGCCCAGACCACCCCAAGGAGCCCTCCAGATGACTGAAGCAGGAGGTGATGGGAACCTAGAGGGTTTCAGGTGTTTCAGCCCATTACTCAGGCACCTGGGGAGATGCCAGAGGCCAGGCTCTCCACATGGTACGGTGCCCGCAGCTTTGCAGGGTCCAGCGGCACAGTGGCTTCCAGTTCCCAGGCTCTTGGCAGAATGTGTTAATTAACTGAGTGTCGGAGGCCTCTCGGGAGGAGAAGACCAAGCAGGGGAAAGTAGTAATCAGTGCTCATTAGTGGTAGTGTCTGCTGGGAGTCTGGCCTCCTGGAGAGCATTGCTGGCCTTCAGAGTCTCCTGGGCACCGAACAGGAGGAGAGAGAGGAATTCCCACTATCGATGATTGTGAGGGTTCCCAGGCCCTTCCTTCCAGCTTGGAGAAGCGGCTGCCCTTAGTCCTTAGTGTCCCTCTCGACAACCCCACCTCCATTTTTCTATCCACCCAGCCCCGAAGAGGCAAACTGAAAAGGCAAAGACCCCGGGAGCCCAATCGCTCACACGCAAGTTGGAATTTAGCCGATTAGTTACTGTGTTAAGCTTACCGGGTGGAAGACCGGCGGCTGCAGGATGAAGCTGTCAGGAATCGGGTCCAGGTGTTCATCAGCTGACATGGGAGCAGGCAGGGCAACTCCACCCCAGCTGCCGATCTTGATTCCAGAAGCTGCGTCCCCCACTGAATTAACGCACCTTTCCCCAGGCAGGGTCTTCAGCCTCTGCAACAGCTGCGCAAGCTCTTAGTCTCACCTGTTCCCTGTGGAATCCTAATGCTTCTTGGAACAGACCTGGAAAGGGCAGTGGCCCACCTCTAGGGCTCGCATCAGCGCACCCCACCCCTCCGTCCCCTGCCCTGGTGGTACACAGCAGCAGCTTTGGCTGGACCCGGTCTGCTAGCCCAAACTCCGTGTCCAGGGGCGGGTAGCGAGCACTGACTCACGGACCAGCTAACTAAGCCATCTGTGTCGGAAGCACTTGGCCATTTCAAAGGGAAGCCTGGGGCTGGCTCATTTCAGCGAGGGCTCACCAGGGTCTACAGCGCCTCAGAGGAAGGAACGGAGGTGGTACACGTGTGCAGGTTCCTCGAGAGGCCCCGCCCCCAGCTTCCTGGCTCCGCCTGCTCTCATTCCTTTCTCGTTCCCGACTCCTTTTCTTTCAAGCTGTAGGGTCCCTTGAGACCATTTCATCATTAGCTGCAAATGCCAGGGACCAGCTGGGGTCACAAGAAAGTGGAGTGAGTAAAGGGCAGGGAGAGGAGGGTTCTCTTGGGCTCGGATAGAGCAGCCTGGGCTAGTTGGGAACACAGCCTCTGCTCTGTGTCCATCCACAAGTCATTTCTTCTCCCAGAACCCCTCCCCCACTTCGGTCACCCGTGGGTCAAGAGGGTGACCGTGGCAGGGCCTTCCTTGTGTTTGAGCCTGGGCTTAGATAGCTGTGTTTTAGGAGAGGCCTCCAGGCCTGGTACAGATTCCAGTAAAGCTTCCCCTTTAAAAATAGCATAACTTCTCAACTTTAGCCTAACTTGGGAGGTTTCCTGATCTAACCATGGGGTCAGACTTGGCAGCAGGGAGTTCCTGGCAGGACCAGGGTAGACAGAATGTCAAGTGCACGGGGTGCAGAAGAGTAAGTAGTTCCTGGCACGGGGGAGAGCGAGTCCGGGGCCTGGGCTGAGGGATCTGGCGGGGCTACTTCACCAGATCTCCTCACCTAGAAGTCTGCCGGGAAGGTGAATTGTGGGGCCTCCACCCCGGACCTACTGAAGAGGGCTTTTGGGGGTGAAGTTCAAGAATTGGCCCTTCAGGCAATTCTTCTGGGCGCGAATGTCTGAGAAACCCTGACTTAGGCCATAACTGAAAGCTCGCTGGGTGCCCAGCCAAGATGTTTGTTCAGCTCCTGCTAGGTAGGTGGAGCAGGGGAGCCACAGGTGTTTCTGTGGGAAATCAATACCCCCGTGCTCAGGATAAATAAATGCTATCCACAGCGGCGGGGAGGAGAAGCTGCAGGTGGAGAGACCAGTTGGGCCAGGATTCCAGGCCCTGCACTGTAGTCAGATCTGGGTCCCCAAGGCCAAGTGCCCTTCCCCCACTCCCCATTCAGCCCTGCTGGGATGGAAGGAAGGAGGGTGTATTCATTAATTTGGGTTGCCACAATAAAATCCAACAGGCTGGGGTGGGGTTGTAAACGACAGAAATCTGTTTTGTCTTTGTTCCGGAGGCTGGACGTTGAAGATCAGGTGTTGACAGGTTTGGTTTCTCCTGGGGCCTCTATCCTGGGTCGGCAGATGGCTTCTTCCTGGCCTCATACAGTTAGTTGGTTGCCGCTGCTATCTGTAGCTGGGTTCTCATCTCCCTTTTATGTGAGGATTCAACCTTACTGGACCAGGGCACACCAACAAGACCTCATTTTTATCTTAATTATTTCTGTAAAGGCTGTGTCTGTAAACACGGTCGTGTTTCTGAGGCTTCTAGGGGTCAGGATTCAGCATGCAGTTTTTAGAGGGTCACAACTTGGCCTGACACAGAGCAGTGGGCTGTGCTCTCCTCCTGGAACTCCAAGGCCCAGTGGTGAGGGGTGTGGCCAATGAGGGCCTTCTGGGGAAGGGCACAATGAAGAAGGGAGGCATGATGTCTCTCTCTCCCGGTTACCTAGGTTTTGAACATCCAGGAGGGCCCTGGGTGAGCTCGAAACACCCCAAGAATCCATTCTCCAGAACAAGAAAGGGGTGCTTCTTCACACCACCTGGGAACTGGATGAGATAATTAGAGGGTGTGAACATTAGGAGAAAAACTAGTCAGGAAGAAGGGAAGGAACTTGGCATCTAGCCCCACTCCCATTTAACCTAGCTGGAATTATTTCTGTGTCTGTGGGAACTGGGTTCATTTTTCTCAACATGGATAATAACTTTTCTCATTCTCACATATGGGCATTCTTTCCTTTTTCAGTGATGAACAAGGTCACCTATGTTTTGCATTGGGTTTTCACTAATAAACAGGAATACTGCCAACTACATTTCATCCTACTGTTCTTGTGGTATTCATTTATTTGTTATTTTTATTTATGTTTAGTGTATGCATTTTGAGTACAGATGCCCACAAAGGCCAGAGGAGGGCATCAGATCCCCTGGAGCTGGTGTATTGGCAATTGTGAGCTGTCCGATGTGGATATTAGGAATCAAGTCTGGGTCCTCTCTAAGAGTAGAAACTGCTCTTAATAGCTGAGCCATATCTCCAGCCACAGAGTAAAATACCTCAATAAAATATTTTATAACCTTTTATCTAGAAAGATTAACTGTGAAAGTATTAACCACTAATGAAAATGTAAAACAATATGACCTCTAACATATTCCTGGCAGAAGTGACTTTGGTATTGTCAGAAAGAGATAGTTTTTCTTTTTTATCTTAAAGCTGAAAATTTGTATGTACCCTTAGGTATTAAGTCTTATGAACTCTCTTGCATGAATATACCAAGACACAATTCAGGTTCCTTTCCAATTGCTTCAATTAAGGAAAAAGGCAAACAATCAAACCTATTCACCCAGTAGCTTTATAATTGGATCAATAAATCATGGTATGAGTACACAGTGGACTGACTAGTTTACAGTCTCTACAGTAATATGAGTATGTGAATGGTTCTCTGTGACCACCAGAACAGCAGAGTAACAATCCTTGGGAGGCAAGAAGGCAGTTCGGTTCAACACATTGACTAAGTAGCTAGTGTTGGTCCAAACTTTGTAAGTCTGATTCCAAGTAGTTTAGGCATGTTTAAGCACAGCACAATTTGGTAAAACTTTCCCAGTGATAATTAACTCAATCTTGTGTGCACAATAAAGCCCAAAGTAAGCTAAATAAAGGTTGTATTTTACAAAGTTTCAATGTAGTCATGTTCATGTGACACCTTGGTTCTATAGATTGACTGAGAAAAACAAACTCATAATAAAGGTCTGGGGGAGGATCTGGCGTGGTCTCAGCCACACAGATAGTGCAAAATTCACCAGGCTATTAACCACAGTGGATAACAGGTTATAAATTTCTTCCTTTGAAGGAACAACCCTGTGTGTTTAACATCAGTAGTTCCCTAGTACTTATCTGTGAGCACAAGGACCTCTTGCCTCCTACACATGAGTAAGTCATAGAAACAAGCTTGGGGGAAGGAAGTGACAAAGAGAACACACAGTGTGACAAGAGCGTCTGTCTCAGTGCATTTGCTAAGAGGACCAGTTGTTTTTTTTTCTGTTGCTGTGATTAAAAACCATGACAACTTATAGAAGGAAGGGTTTATTCGAGCTAATGTTCCAGAGGTATAAAAGCTCACGAGGTTGAGAAAATGTCTTAGGGTTTCTATTGCTGTGAAGAGACACACAATCACAGCAACTCTTATGAGGAAAACATTTAAGTGTAGTGGCTTGCTTACCACTTTAGAGGTTCAGTCCATTATCATCATGTCGGGGAGCATGGCAGCATGCAGGCAGACATGGTGCTGGTTACACCTTGATCAGAAGGCAACAGGGAGTAGACTGAGTGTCACACTGAGCAAAGCTTGAGCAGAGGAGACCTCCAAGTCTGACTTCATAGTGACACACTTCCTCCAACAAGGCCACACCTATTCCAACAAAGCCACACCTCCTAACAGTGCCACTCCCTATGAGCTTATGGGGGCCAATTCCATTTAAACTACCACAGGAGGCATGGCAGCTGCTGCAGGCACAGTGGCAGGACCTGGAAGCTGAGAGCTCACACCTCAACCATGAGCACAAAGCAGAGAGCAGAGCAGAAGTGGCCTCGAGGCTTTTTCCTCCCAAAGTCTAAAACCTCCAGCAAGGCCACACCCCCTAAGCCTCCCTATAGTAGTCAGGGTTCTCTGAGGGAACAGAACTGCTAGAATGAATGGATATATATCTTGCGTAGTCAACAATGGCTGTCTCAGGAGGGAAAGGCCAGGAATCCAGTAGTCAGTCAGTCTTCCTCCAGACTAGATGTCTCTGCAGTCCTGATCTGCTGCTGGAGTCTGGGAGGGGTCCCAGAGAGCTGCTGGTTGTTAGTCTATGTTGGAATCCCAAAGAAGCAGGCTCCAGTACTACTGAAGGAATGCCCTGACAGCAGGTTAGATGAACTTGCTAGTGAGAGTGAGGTGAGGGCAAGTAGTCAAGAACAGACACTTCTTCTATGTTCTTTCATATGAGCTGCTATCAGAATGTCTGGCTCAGAGTTAGTTAGGGTAGGTCTTCTATTTCAAATAGTCCCCCCCCCCCAAAAAAAATCCCCCACAGACAGGCTCAGCTGCTTGGGTTTTAGCTGATTCTGGATGTAGTCAAATTGACAATCAAGATTAGCCATCACACTCCCCAAGCAACACCATGAACTGGGGATTAAGTGTTCAAGTTGCTGACCCGTTGGGGGCATTCATTCAAGCCACTTTACAGTGTGCTATAATAAAGACCCTTGTAGATATCAGGAATGTCTCAGATTCTCAGGTGGGATGTTCAGGACCTGCTCTAGCAGACTCAGTGTCTGGTGAGACCCGTTTCCAGGGTCAAGGATGGCACTGGGGTTGCTCCTAGCTCTTTAGGGGCCTCTGTTATAAAGACACAAGTCCATTCATGAGGAGTGTGCTGCCAGGGTCTAAGTTCTTCCTAAAGTCTTTCACCTAGTCCATTTACTTAGGGTTAGGATTTCAGTATATGAATTTTGAGAGGACACAGATATCCAGGCCAAACACCATTCTGAAAATAAAGTTTCAAGCCTGAAAACAAAATGAGGTATTAGGGATGCAAAAGGATTTGAAAAGGAAAAAAAAAAAACTAGTTAAACGGTAAAGGGAAATCAATGGATGAGTGGATAAAGAAAACAAAATAAGTCAGACTCGGAAGGCGAGTATCATGCATGTGCTTATATGTGGACTTCAGGAATAATAATAATAATAAGGACACGATGAGAAAGGCAGCTATGAAGGATGTGGAAGTCGAGGTGAGATTGAGGGAAGGATAGTTGAATAGTGAATTTGACCAAAGCACATCAAACTCAGGTGTGAAAATACCACATGATTTTCTAGAGGGAAAGGCCCAGTGAGGAGAGTGACTGTATGTAGTCTTAGCTGAGGCTGAAAAAAAGGATCCTTTGAGCCCAGGAGTTCAAGACTTGCCTGCTCAACAGAGCAAGGTCTCATGGTAAAAAACTAAGCAAAAAACAAAAAGCAAGGACACCTTACACACAAAACTCAGGATGGAGGGGATGAGACGTGGAAAGCAGGGGATATAGGTGGAGCTTGTGTATTGGGTTGTTATAGTTCTGAGGTTCCACCTTTGTTTATTACAATATATACTTATTTAGCTTTTTTTTTTTTTTTTTCCAAGACAGGGTTTCTCTGTGTGTAACTCTGGCTATCCTGGAATTCATTCTGTAGACCAGGCTGGCCTCGAACTCACAGAGATCTGCCTGCCTCTGCCTCTTGTGTTGTAGAATATTATTTTAAGGTGTGTTACTTTTGTTTATGTTGCATTTGTTTAACTCTGTGAAGCTATGTTACTGTACCTGTCTAGAACACTTGATGGTCTAATGAAGAGCCGAACAGCCAATAGTGAGGCAGGAGAAAGGATAGGTGGGGTTGCCAGGCAGGGAGGATAAATAGAAGAAATCTTGGAGAGAAAAAAGGACACCAGGGGCCAGCCCCCCCCCCCCAAAGCCAGACATGAGTAAGAAAAAAAAAAAAAAAAAAGGGTATACAGGAATAGAGAAAGATAAAATCCCCGAGCCCAAAGATAGATGGAATAATTTAGGACAAGGAAAGCTGGCTAGCAACAAGCCAACTAAGGCCGTGCATTTATAATTAAGAATAAGCCAGGGCTGGAGAGATGGCTCAGAGGTTAAGAGCACTGACTGCTCTTCCAGAGGTCCTGAGTTCAATTCCCAGCAACCACATGGTGGCTCACAGCCATCCGTAATCAGATCTGGTGCCCTCTTCTGGCCTGCAGTCATACATGCTGTATACATAATAAATAAATCTTTAAAAAAAATAAAATAAATCTTAAAAAAAAAAAGAATAAGCCTTTGTGATTTATTTGGGAGCAGGATGGCGGTCCCCAAAAGAGTAAAAATTGGCAACACTCCTGAGATTAAAAGGAGTGCGCCATGACCGCAGGACACAATTTGGCTTTAAATTTCAAAAGGTTTATTTGATGTGTATACGTGTTGGTGCCTGCACGTCTGTGTAGTATGTGCATGCCTGGTGCTGGCTGAGGCCAGAAGAAGGCGTCAGAACATCTTGTAGCTGGAGTTATAGACTGTTGTGAGCCACCTCGTGAATGCTGGGAACTGAACTCTGTAGGAGCGATAGGTGTTCTTAACCCTAGCCATCACCCC